GCGGAGGGGGCGCTCCGGCTGGCGGGTGTGGGGATGCGGAGGGGTCGCGCGGGATGATTGTTTTTTCAGGCAAAGTCATGCGTTACAGATTTAAGGGGCGGCGCCGTGCCAAAATAAAAAGGCCAGGACGGAGGGAGCGCGCTGGCTGGTGGATGGGGTGATGGAGGGGGCGCTCGGGATGGGGGGGGGGGCCGTGCTGAAATGAAATGGGTCGGGGCGGAGGGGGCGCACTGGCTGGCGGGTGGGGCGATGCGGAGGGGGCTCGTGGGTTGGGGGGGCGCGGTGCCGTGCCGAAATCAAAGGGTCGGGTCGGAAGGGGCGGTGCCGCGCCGGAAAAAGGGATCGGAGCGGAGGGGGCGTGCTGGTTGGTGGGTGGGGGGATGCGGAGGGGGCGCGGGCCGGAACGGGCGCGCTGGCTGATGGGCGAGCGGATGCGGAGGGCCTATAATACGGGGACGCGGCAGGGCGGCGCCGTGTCGAAATTAAAGGGTCGGGGCGGAGGGGGCGCGATGGCGGTGGGTGACCGATGCGGAAGAGGCGCGCGGGATGGGGGGGCGGTGCTGTGCCGAAATAAAAGGGTCGGGGCGGAGGGGGGGGTGCGGACGGGGCGCGCGGGATGTGGGGGGGCCGTGCCGAAATTCGCCGGCCCAACGGGCCAGAGGGCCAGAGGCGTGCTAAGATCTCCGGTAACTGGTTAACAATATTTGTAGTTCGCGCGCGCGCGGAGCGGCCCCTGGGGGCCACCGGACGAAAAGTACCCTGGCAAGGTCCCGGGAGAAGCCACCAGAACACTCCAGGGGAGGGCCATTTTTCGACACCCCTCACGAGGATTGTGGCCTCCGAGGGGGGAGCCGCAATCGACTACCCCCCCTCCCGCCCCATGAGGCCCCCCAAAAGCCCCCCAAGAGGCCCTGGGGGGCCCCAAGACGCCCCAAGAGACTCCCAAGAGGTCCCCAAGAGGCCCCCAAAAGACCTTAAAGAGGGCTCCAGGGCCGGAGCGAAGCAAGTAAATAACAGGGTCGGGGCGGAGGGGGCGCGCTAGCTGGTGGGGATGCGGAGGGGGCGCGAGGGATGGGGGGGTGCCGTGCCGAAATAAAAGGGTCGGGCCGGAGGGGGCGCGCTGGCTGGTGGGCGGGGGGATCCAGATCCGGAGGGAGCGCGCGGGCTTGGGGGGCGGGTGCCGTGCCGAAATAAAAGGGTCGGGGCGGAAGGGGCGAGCTGGCTGGCGGGTAGGAGGGCGCGGGCTGGTGGGTGGGGTGTACGGAGGGGGGCGCGTGGGATGGGGAGGGTGCCGTGCAGAAAACAAAATGGTCGGGGCGGAGGGGGCGCGCTGGCTGGTGGGTGACGGGGATCCGGAGGGGGTGCGTGGGATGGGGGGGGGCCGTGCCGAAATAAAAGGGTCGGGGCCGGAGGAGGCGCGCTGGCTGGTGGGTGGGGGATGGTGGTGTTGGTGGGTGGGTGTGGGGGGGGGCCGTGCCGAAATTAAAAGGTCGGGGCGGAAGGGCCTCGCTGGCTGGTGGGTGGGGGGGTGCGGAGGGGCGCGTGGGATGGGGGGGGGGCCATGCTGGCATTTAAGGGTGGGGCGGGGGGCGCGCTGGCTGGTGGGTTGGGGGGATGCGAAACGGGCACGCGGGATGGGGGGGGGCCGTGCCGAAATAAGAGGTCGGGGGGAAGGTGCGCGCTGGCTGGTGGGTGGGGGGGTGCGGAACGGGCGCCAGGGATGGGGGGGTGCCATGCCAAAAAAAGGTCGGGGCGGAGGGGGCGCGCTGGCTGGTGGGTGGGGGGATCCCGAGAGGGCGCTGGCAGGCGGGGGGGATGCGGAGGGAGCGCATGGGATGGGGGGGGGGGCGTGCCGAAATAACAAGGTCGGGGCGGAGGGGGCGCGCTGGCTGGTGGGCGGGGGATGCAGAAGGGACACGCGGGATGGGGGGGGTGCCGCAATAAAAGGGTCGGGGCGGAGGGGGCGCGCTGGCTGGTGGGTGGGGAAATGCGGAAGGGGCGCGCGGGATTGGGGGGGCGTGCCGAGATAAAAGGGTCGGGGCGGAGGGGGCGCGCTGGCTGGTGGATGGGAGGGATGCGGAGGGGGCTCGTGGGATGGGGGGGGCGGTGCCATGCCCAAATAAAAAGGTCGGGGCGGAGGGGGCGCGCTGGCTGGTGGGTGGGGGGATGGGGTGGGGGAGATGGGGGCGCGCTGGGGGCGCGCTGGCTGGTGGAATGGGTGGGTGATGGAGGGTGTGCCGTGCCGAAATAAATTGGTCGGAGTTCTAGAAACCCTGTGCAAGAGAATGAAGAAAACAAAAACACGATCACTAGATGGGGTCGGGGGATCTCGCCGCATCGCCGACGCATCGGCGATGCATCGCCGATGCATCTGCGATGCATCGGCGATGCGTCGGCGGCGTCGGCGATGCACCGGCGACGTCGGCGTGGAGAAAATCGAGCTCCGCATCGAGCCGCATCGCGGATGCATCGGTCCTCCGACACCATCTGCTCCGACCCCAGCTAGGAGGCACAGAGTAGGATCTCGGCCGCTCGCCCTGGCCACCCGGAAGGCCGGGGAGAGACAGGCAGACTCGTTTCCAAGACGGCCAGGATGGCCCACGAGATGCCCGCAGGACGGCCAAGATGGTCCCAGGAGGGCCCAGGATGACCCCAAGATGTCTCCAAGATGGACCGACATGCATCCACGACTGCCCAAGATGGCACAAAGATGGCCCAAAGATAGCCCAAGAGGCCCCCAAGAGGGTTCCACGACGGCCCACAGAGGCCTGCAAGAGGAGCTCCAGAAAGGCCCTGAAAGGCCCAACTCACTGATTCACCATGAGTGATCAAAAGAGTTGGGCATCTGATTCCTTTTCGGCTCTCCGACGGCCCAGGACGGCCCAAGCGGCCACCCGGCTGGCCCCCAGGAGCACCCGAGGCCTCCAAGGTGGCCCCCCTGACGGCCCAGGCTGCCCCCGAGACGGCCCCAAGAGGGGCCCAAGACTGCCCAGGAGACCTCCAAGACGCCCAAGATGGCCTCCAAGACGACCCTGAAGCGCCCCAAATCGGGAGGCGAAAGAGTATCAATGTCACGCCGCCGCGGGCCACCCCAGGCCCCCATCGGCGTGTTACTGTCGATGTGCCTTGTCTTTTTCGAACGACGAACGACGGAGGAACACGCCGATGGGGCGTGACATTGCTACTCGTTCGCCCCCCCGACCAGAGAGGGCCCCGAGTCGACCAAGAGAGGCCCCCCAAGGCGGCGTTCGACGGCGGCAGACGGGCCAAGGAACGCCCCAGACGAGCGGGCATTGCACAGCGCTTGCCACCAAGAGGCCCGAAGAAGGCCTCCAAAAGAGGCCTCCAAAGAGGCCCCTGGGAGGCGCCCAGGCTCGACGAGTGCCCCAAAAGCTCTCAAGAGGCCTCCCCCTCCTCCTCCTCCACTCCTTCTCCCTATAGATAACTCCTCCCCGTCGCACCCCGAAGCCAGTTTTTAGGGCAGGCCGGGCATTGCGCCTGAGACTTCCTCACCATTTATGACACTGAAGCTAAACAATGAGAACAGCTTGAGAGATGGAGGGCGGGTGGTGTTCCAAATGTGGTTCTCGCCTTAGCGCCGCGCACATTCGTTTTCGAAATTTGCAGAAGAGCTTCACGGATTGAGGGCGGGTGGTTTTCAAAATGTGGTTCTCGCCTTAGCGCCGCGCAAAGGCGTTTTCAAAAAGTGCAAGGGCTTCACGGATTGAGGGCGGGTGGTCTTCAAAATGTGCATCTCGCCTGAGCACCGCGCAAATGCGTTTTCAACAATTGCAAAGGCTTCACGGATGGATAGCGGGTGGTTTTCAAAACGTGGCTCTCGCCTGAGCACCGCGCACATTCGTTTCAAAGCATTGCAAAACCTGCACGGGCTGAGGGCGGTTCCATTCCAAAATGTGGCTCTCGCCTTAGCGCCGCACACATTCGTTGTCAATATTTGCAAGGGTTTCACTGGTTCCCATGGTCAACGCACCAGAAGCGGTGTTTTGGACAGATTCAGTTATGTTGATTCGCGGTCTTGTAGCCCCAAAAGTGGCGTTCTGGCACGATTCCGGATCGTCAAGACGCAGCAATCAGGTTGATACGTGGCGTTGAAATCCCGAGAACGATGTTTTGGTATGCTTCAGGATCTTCTAACGGTTGTCTTCCAACGAGGCAGATCCCTCAATTGAAATGAACCGTTGTAGGGGCCGTTGTAGGAAGCTTGGAGGGAAGGTTAATTCCAACATCGTTGATGACTCTGGAGTTTACACTGGTCCTCCTTCTCCGGCTCCTCCTCCTCCTCCTCCTCCTCCTCCTCCTCATCCTCCTTTTGCCTCCCTCTCGTCCTCTTCCTCGTCCTCCCCAGTTTTTCCCGAGGGGTTCCCACAACGCCTGGGGGAACACACAGTCCGATAGCGTTGCCGAGCTCTGGCCACAACGTTCAGCCACATAGGCGCTTCCCACAAGGCAGGTGGGGCGGTGGTGATTCGCCGTAGGCGTCTTCGATGTCTATCCCTACGTGGCCCTGCGGATGTCGCTTTGCCACTCAGGCAGGTGGTAATTGGAGTGACCTAAATTGGGGGGTGAAGACAAGGGCCCCTTGGGGGGCCCTTTCATTAGAGATTATCAGCCCCACAGACTTGCTCATCACCCTCACCCTCCTCCTTTCCCCCTTCCGCCCTCCCTCCCTCCCTCTCCTGTCTTTCTATCACCTCTGCGTGCTTCCACAAAGGACTGGAAGCGGGAGAGGGGAGGCCGAAGGAAAAGGACGAGGCAATGTCTCACCACTCGGGCGGGAACGAGCTGGTGGAGGAGGCCGGGCACCACGACTTCGGGGGATGAACCGGAAAGGTGGGAAAAGTAGCAAGTCACTGTGGTTCAGGGAAACTGGAGAGCGAGAGAGAGAGAGAGAGAGAAAGAGAGAAAAAATCAGACAGAGATGTGTACTACTTGTCCTCAGGAATGGCTGCAGAACGCATGGGCACAGATCGGCATGAATCCTTCTTCCTCCTCACCTTGAGCTCGTCGGTGAACGGGAATCCGAACTCCTTCATCAGCTGCATGGCGGAAGGCTGCGTGAAGCGGTTGGTGTGCTTAGCAAGCCGACAACGAGAATGCTACGGCTTCACCATCCCAATGCCGCTCCACCCCCCCTCCCAATTCCCCAAACAGGCTCGTCATACCTGTCCTATTTCTCCGCCTCCTCATGATATTCCTCATCCGACGCCTTCCCCACCAATATCACATCGTCCTCCTCATGCTTCCCCCTCTGTGATATCTTCCACCTCTCTGTCCTCGTCGTCGTGGCCGTCGTCACCCCCCTCCCCATCTTCCTCGACCTCCTCCGCTTCCTCACTCCCTTCATACGCTCCATCAGCATGATGTGTCCCTTCATCCTCCACCTCATCCTGCTCACCCTCTGATCCATATCATCCTCATGCTGGTCCGCCTCCCTTTCGCCCCTCCTCGCCCGATCTCTTCCTGCCTGTCCTCCCCTCCCTCTTCTCTCCCTCCACCCCAGCGTGCGGTTGCCTTCTGGCGTTAGGTCGAGCATGTCCCCCTACAGGCGGGTTTTGGACGAAAAATGAAAAAAAACTCATTCGAACAAAAATCAAAAATTGACAAAAATGATCACAACAAAAAAACGTGCCCATAACCAAGTACAGCCGAGAATAAACCCCCAGGGAGAAACAAGTTCGGCGGTTACGGTGTGATAATAAAAGTTGCCCACCAGGACCAGCATAAAGATGTTAACCGAGGAGCCAAAGCCGAGGATAGCTTGAGACATCCTTGGCTTTTTGTCCTCTCTGAGACATCCTCAACGAAGGCTTGTCTCGCTTGAGACATCCTCGACAAGATTTAGACAAATATAAACAGAGAGAAAGAGAAGAAACGAGCAGGAGAAGGAGAGAAGGAGGAGGAAGCAACAATCCACAATTCAAAACCTATTAGATTTTATCTGTAAGCGCTTAACGGAAATTAAGATGTTCATCTGCTCGTGTAGGGTAGCTAATCTGCCTCGTTTTCCCAGGATAGTCAACCACAACGATAAAAAAAGTTCAGGGGGGCACGGAAAGAAGGAGAAAGGTTGAGAGAGAGAAAGAAAAAGAAAGAGAAAGAGAGACAGAGGACAGACAAAGAGACAGAGAAAAAGAGAGAAAGAGGTTGAGAAAGAAAGAGAAAAGGATAGAGAGAGAGAGAGACGGAGAGAGAGAGAGAGAGAGGAGAGAGGAAGATGAGAAGGAGGAAGAAAAAAACCAAAGTTCAAACATTATTAGATTTAAATTGTAAGCGCTTAATGGGAATTAAGATTTTCATCTGCTCGTGTATGGTGGCTCATCTGCCTCGTTGTCCCAGGATAATCAACCACAGCGATGAACAAGTTCAGGGCGCCAGGGAGAGGAGGAGGAGGAGGAGGAGAAGGAGGAGGAGGAGAGGAGAAGGAGACATCCTTAAGAAACGTACTGTTTCGCTCGAGACGTCCTTCAGTGTATGCTTGTTTCGCTTGAGACATCCTCGAGTGTATGCTTGTTTCGCTTGATGTTGCTATCTCAACATAGGAAGGAAGTAACCTCGATGGCGAACTTTTCACGGTGATAATGAAGTTCGGCCTCCGCGCCCCCGCGCCCCCGACCAAACTCTGATTGGCCGTGGATAATCAACTTTTATGTGTATAGGGGGGGTACATTATTATCGCGGGCACCCGGTTACTGTCTTTCGATTATGTTTGAATGTTCCTCCTGTAGAGGGCCGTGCCCGACTTACTCCTGGCGGCTCCATGCAGACACCCACCGCCGTGCCGCGAGGCACTGAGCGGAGCGCACACCCTGTCCTCCAGAGGCCTGACCCAAATCCCAGGCTTCGCTGGGGCTTCGAATGGGGGAGGAGGGAGGAAGAAGAGCAGGAGGAGGATGGGGGAGAAGGGGGAGGGGGAGGGGGAGGAGGAGGGGGAGGAGGAGGGGGAGGAGAAGGGGGAGGAGGAGGAGGAGGAGGAGGAGGAGGATGGAGGATGGAGGATGGAGGATGGAGGATGGAGGATGGAGGCTGGGATATACGATGGGCGGGCGTCCATCCTCGACGAGGGGTGCGTCCGAAGAGCCCCCTTGGGTTCAGTCGGGCGCGTCCCCCTACGGGGGGATGTTGGGCGAAAAACGAAAGATGCTCAAAACATGCACCAAAATGGTTTAAAACGAAACAAAAAACAAAAATCGTCCCCTGACTTTCTTTTGATTATGGTTACCTTTTCCTCCTGTAGAGGGACAGGCCCGACTTCACCCTTGGGTTGCATCCCGAAGCTCCCCACATCTTTTTCGGAGCGGCCAGACTTTTGGGGCGCGGCTCGGGGACTGGGGGGGGAGAAACACCGCCTGCGATCAGTCCTCACCGTTGGGCACTTGACAACTGCTGGGCCCGAAGGCCCCAGCGCGGCGCCCCGCCTGTCCCCGCAGGCATCTTGGGGCCAGAGGGCCCGAGGACGGCCCATGACCGGGATCCGCCAGAGGGGGGGCGACCCCGAGGAGGGACAGGAGCTCGGTCCGCCGGTGCACCGAACTGCCGCGCACGGATGCCTCCCGCATGCCCCACCCGTCGGCAACGATGGAGAGCTGCCTGCCGCTGGGGGGCACCTGTCTTGGGCGCTCCGGCGCAAAAACCGATCGACCTCACGCACACACCAAGGGGCACAACACCCTTTGCGGCATCCAGGCGTGAGAGCCCCAGGGCAAGCATCCCCTGGTTAGCACCAGCCTCTACTGCCTACCTGCCAGACCACCCCAACCTAACCCGAAGACCAAAATTTCGAGTTTGGGGGGATACAGGTTCCACATGTGTTGTTTTATTCCATCTTCCCAGACGCCCCACCCCCGCTGCGAATGGAGTAAATTGGGGCCTTCGGGTTTGATTGGAGCGGTTTGGTGGGTGGTGGCAAGGTTAGCATCAGCCTCTACGAGGCCTGGGAAGACGGGTTCATCGACAAGCTCAGCAAGGAGGAGAGGACGAAGGAGAGGGTCCTGGCCCTGATCCTCTAGGCGGAGCTGCTGATAGAGATCCAGATGCTTCTCGGGGTAAGATTCAGAATAATCCAGGACGTTTTGGTGTTGATCAGAACTTTGGGCCTCTGGATGGCCTCCCCCCTCCACGGAGGGGCGGACATTCTAGGATTTAATTAATTCACGTGCTGGGTCCCCGAGCACTTCGCGGGCACCGATCTTCACGTCGGCAGCCGGCAAGACGAACGACAGCATGATGCACAAACGAATCTCGATTCAATCGTTTGGGTCTTCGTGTGTGCTCTCGCAGGTGGGCAAAACGGGCGGGTCCACATTCTAGAGGAACAAACAGACTAGGGAAACGAACTCTATACTCCGACGCTTCTCCCGACCCTGCGCTGGAAATCGCACAGGAGCGCGGATTCTGGTGTATGCGGGATCCTGGTGTATGCATGTTGCGTCGTTTCCCCGGGGAAACGGGGAAACAAATATACACCACACCACCCCGACGTCGTCCCCGACCCTCGAAAAAGTCCGGGGGGGGAAACACCGCCCGCCGCTGTTAGTGTACAGGCTTCCAGCTTCCGACACACTGCATCAGCAGAAAGGCCGGCGCTTCTCGCGGATGCTCTGCACCGGCGCTGCACCTGCGCTCCGTCCGCCGGGGAGGACAGGACAGCGCAGATGCACACAAGCCCGCGCGGAGCTCCGACGGCTGCTGCCTGTGCCGTCTCTCTCGCTCGCCGACGCTCGTGCCTCTGGCTTCTCCAGACGCCGCATCGGCGAGCGCAATGCACGCTCCGAGCACGGAACTGCCGGGACGCACAGGGCCCCCACTTCTCGGAGGGCTGGGAGGTCCCTCCCCCGGCCCTCCGAGGCGGTGCCCGAGCCGTCCCAGAGGGCACGGGGCACCTCTCAGGAGGCGCGAGGGCTTCGGGGCAGTCCCGCCGCCTTCCGAGCAGGGCCTCCCTCTTCGCGTGCCCCCCCCCCCCCTCGCTCGCCGCCGACAACCCCCCCCCACCCCCCCCCCTGCTGAGCGGGAGGCGATGGTGATCTGCCAGTTGTGCGTGATCTCGCGGATGTCCAGGAGCTCGTCGAGCTCCTTGAAGGGCTCCTCTGCGCGAGCGGCAGGCGGCGCGGGAGGGCCGTGGAGGCGCCACGGGTCCGCCGCCCAGGCACACGGTGCATCCGGCCAGCCGGGGCAGCGAACCGAGGTCTGCCCCAAACCCGATGGGGCCCAGGGAGGCACCAACAAATGCCGTCGAAGCGCTGCCAGAAGGAACCCTCAATACGGAATGGAATGAGGTCCCTGTTGTCCAGAAGTGAACCTTCGATCCCACATAGAGAACAGGAGAACAGAACGACAACCTAAGACTACGAACTGCACACCTCTTGAGGAGCACGGAGCCGCTCCCGAGCAAGAAGAGCTCCTGCTGCTTCAGCGGCCCGGCTGCAAGCACAAGCCCCAGGATGTCTCAGCGTGTGCTCAGTGTTGCCTCAGGGTGTTCGGGCTCCCCGCCGCTTCCCCCGTGCTCATCAGTTTCAAGGTACAGTCGAGGCGTTGACCTAAGGAACCCTAAATGAGGAACGAGGCCCCTAGTTATTCTCCATAAGTTGCCCTTCGATTCCGTATCGAAAACCTAAGGAACATCCAGGGCAAGCTGCGGAACAATTAAGGAACACGGAGCCCCTCCCCAACGAAAAGGGTTCCTTCTTCAGGGCCCCGACTGTAATCGACTCTTCCTTGTGCCTGCGACGATGCCTTCCTCTCGACGAATGGGGTCCGAGTAGATGGGGTCGGAAGTGCACCCGGCCATGCCAAGCAAGGATCACAGGCCTGCCAAGGGATGTCTGGGCAGAGGGAGGTCGGGGAATCCGTGCACCCAGCCAGGCCCAGCAGAGATCCGAGGCTGGCAAATGGGGTCCGCGTAGATGGGCTCGGGGGATCAGTGCACCCAACCATGCCCTGCGGTGACATTAGAGGCCTGCCAACCAGGGTCCAAAAAGATTGTGTCGGAGGATCGCGCCGCACGGCCGATGCATCGGCGACGTCAGCATGCAGAGAAGGGGGCTCAACGACGCGCCGAATCGCCGATGGCACGATCCTCCGACCACATCTACTGCGGCCTCGTTCGGGCGGCCTGGAGTGAGGCGGCTGCCCAACTGGCGCAGCTGTGCACGCATCGCTCGCCGCCCCGCGTCTGACTCACACGCTGGGCAGAATACAGTGGAGGCCAGTCCACAGGAGACCTTCCACCAGAAACCCAAACCTGAGACCCCAGGAACAACTTTTGATATTTCGTGTGGGAACGTCGCGCCTTCCACCGCAAAACCACCGAAACCCAAGACACCCAGGGCACCCTGGAGGCCAGCAGGGTCTCTTGGCACGGGCCCCCGCTGCACGCACGTGCTGGACACGGTAGCGCGCCCTACAACTAGGAACCGCATGGAGATCCGCCACCGTGCCGCCGGGCACGGCGGGGGCGTCCTCGCGTCCTTTGCCCGATCCCTCGAGGCTCCCAGGGAGTACCCAAAAGGCCAGGAGCCCAAATTCTCACATCTGCTGGGGCTTCCCGCGTGCCACCTGGGGCGTCTCGCGCCGTCTCGCGTGACCAAGAGGCCCAAGAGGGGCCAACGACAGGCTAAGAAAGCCCCAAGAGGCCCCCAAGGCAGAGCAAGAGGGCCACGAGTCGCCGAACGATCGCACCTAGACGCCCAAGAACGCCCAAGAGGCCTCCAAGACGCCCCAAGAGAGCCCCAAGAGCCTTCCCAAGAGGGCATCGAGTGACCAAAGTCGTTGATTTACCATGTGATTTTTCGAGCTCCCGACGCTCCAAGAAGACCGCTGCAAGACAGCCCAAGAGGCCCCCAGGAGGGCCCCAACAGGGCCCAAGAGGGCTCCAAGATGGCCTCACGGGCGCCCAAGACGGCCCAAGAGGGCCCACAGACAGCCCCAAGAAGGGCCCAAGACGGGGAGCACGAACCGAAAATCCGAGTCTACCGCCCGAGAGGCCTCCAAGACGCCCAAGATGGCCTCCAAGATGACTAAGATGGCCCAAGATGCCTCCAAGACGGCCCAAGATGCACCCAAGACGGCCTGAGATGGCCTCCAGATGGCCTAAGACGGCCCAAGAGGCCCCCAAGAGGCCTCCAAAACGGCCCAAGAGGCCTCCAAGAGGTCCTCAAGGAGGACCCGAAGAGGGCAAAACCATTGATTTGCATGAGGTTGTTGAAGGATTTTGTTATTTGCGCATTTTCGACATGTCGACATCTCAAGACGGCCCAAGAAGCCCCCAAGATCGCCCACGAGGTCTCTAAGATGGCACCATGAAGGCCCAAGAGGCCCCGAAGAAGGCCCCAAGAGGGCCCAAGAGGCGTCCAAGACGGCTAAGATGGCCCCAAGATACCTCCAAGATGGCCCAAGATGGCCCCAATATTGCCTGACATGGCCTCAAGATGGCCCAAGACAGCCCAAGGGGCCCTCAAGAGGCCTCCAAGACGGCCCAAAAGGTCTTCCAGGAGGGCACGAAGAGGCCAAAATCATTGATTGTCCTTACGTTGTTTAAGGATTGTTGCATTTGCTTCTTCTCGGCATTCCGACAGCTCAAGACGGCGCAAGAGGCCCCGAAGATCACCCAAGAGGCCTCCAAGATGGCCCCATGACGGCCCAAAAGGCCCCCAAGACGGCCCCAAGAGGGCCCTAAACCGGCCCAAGAGGCCTCCAAGACGCCCAAGATGGCATCCAAGAACCCCCTGATATGCCCCAAGAGGGCCCCAAGACGACCCACACAGGCCCCCTAAGACGGCTTGCGACAGCGTCAGGCAAGCCAGGAACGCCCTAAGACGGCCAAAGAGGCCCCCAAGAAGCCTCCAAAGGCCCCCCCAAACCCACCAAGAGGCCACAGGAAGCTCCCAGGAGGCACCAAGAGTGCCCCAAGAGGCGCCCAAAAGGCCTCCTCCTATTCCTCCTCCTCCTCCTCCTCCTCCTCCTCCTCCTCCTCCTCCTCCTCCTCCTCCTCCTCCTCCTCCTCCTCCTGCTCCTCCTCCTCGTTTTTTCCTCATCCTCCCCCTCCTCCTCTTCTTCCTCCCCCACGCGTTCCCCGAAGTCTTTCCAGACCGACTCGGGGAATAACTGGCCCAATAGCTTGGACAAGCTCTGGCCCAGATGTCGGCCACAGAGGCGCTTCCAAAAAGGCAGGGGCGGCGGTGATTCGCAGTAGGCGTCTTCGATCCGCCGCCCCCTGTTGGCTTGCCACAAGGGGGCCCGGCGTGCTAGACCCTTTCGATTTTGGTTCTTTTCGAACTCCCCCTGGGGCTTCGGCCCGTCCCGTCAGGTCGTGGAAGGTCCGGAAAACTCTTCCAGAGCCGGTTGCCGAGGTATCTCCTGCTTCAGACGGCTCAAAGATGGCGTCCAAGATGACCCAAGCTGGTCTCCAAAATGCCTCCAAGATGACCGAGATAGCCTCCAAGACGGCCTGAGAGGGTCCAAGATACTTCCAGATACGCCCAAGAAGCCTCCAAGACGGCCCAAGACTGCCCAAGAGGTGTCCAAGAGATCTCCAAGACGGCCAAAGAGGCCTCCGAGAGGTCCTCCAGGAGGGCCCGAAGATGCTAAAATCATGGATGTTCCTTCAGTGTTTTAGCGATTTTCGTATTTGCTCTTTTTCGGCCTTCCGACGACCCAAGACGGCCCAAGAGGCCCCCAAGATCGCCCCCAGAGCGCCCAAGAGGCCTCCAATATGGCCTCAGGACTGCAGGGCCCCCAAGACGGCCCCAAGAGGGCCCAAAGACGGCCCAAGAGGACTCTAAGACGCCCAAGGAAGCCCCCAAGACTGCCCTGGAGCACCCCAAGAATGGCCTAAGTCGCAGCCCAGAGAGGCCCCCAAAACGGCTTCCGACGGCGTCAGGCGGACCAGGAACCCACCAAGACGGTCCAAGATTACTCTAAGATGGCCTAAGACGCCTCCAAGAGAGCCCCCAGGAAGGCCCGAAGAGCCCAACATCATGGATTTTCCTTTGGTGTTTAGAATATTTGGGCATTTGCTTCCTTTCGGCCTTCCGACGGCCCGAGATGGCCCAAGAGCCCCCGAAGATCACCCAAGAGGCCTCCAAGATGGCCACAGAACGGCCCAAGAGACCCACAAGACGGTCCCAAGAGGGCCCCAACGACGGCCCAAGAGAGGCCTCCCAAGACAGTGTCCAAGAGGACCCCAAGTCGGTCCAGAGAGCTTCCGACGGTGTCAGACTTGCCAGGAGCCCACCAAGACGACCGAAGATGGCCCTAAGATGGCCCAAAACGGCCCAAGAGGCCTCCAAGAGAGCCCCCTGGAAAGCCGCAGAGGCCAAAATCATTGAATTTCGTTAGGTGTTTGAAGGATTTGGGCATTTGCTTCGTTGCGGCCTTCTGAAGGCCCGAGACGGCCCAAGATCGCCCAACGATCGCCCCAAGATCGCCCACGAGGCCTCCAGGATGGCCTCAGAGCAGCCCAAGAGGCCTCTGAGACGGGCCCAAGAGGGCCCCAAGACGGCCCAAGAGGCCTCCAAGACGCCCAAGATGGCCTCCAAGACGGCCCTGGAGCACCCCAAGATGGCCCTAAGTCGGCCCAGAGTGGCCCCCAAGAAGGTGTCCGACGGCGTCAGGCGGGCTAGGAGCTCACCAAGACGGCCCAAGAGGCCCCCAAGATCGCCCCCAGAGCGCCCAAGAGGCCTCCAATATGGCCTCAGGACTGCAGGGCCCCCAAGACGGCCCCAAGAGGGCCCAAAGACGGCCCAAGAGGACTCTAAGACGCCCAAGGAAGCCCCCAAGACTGCCCTGGAGCACCCCAAGAATGGCCTAAGTCGCAGCCCAGAGAGGCCCCCAAAACGGCTTCCGACGGCGTCAGGCGGACCAGGAACCCACCAAGACGGTCCAAGATTACTCTAAGATGGCCTAAGACGCCTCCAAGAGAGCCCCCAGGAAGGCCCGAAGAGCCCAACATCATGGATTTTCCTTTGGTGTTTAGAATATTTGGGCATTTGCTTCCTTTCGGCCTTCCGACGGCCCGAGATGGCCCAAGAGCCCCCGAAGATCACCCAAGAGGCCTCCAAGATGGCCACAGAACGGCCCAAAAGACCCACAAGACGGTCCCAAGAGGGCCCCAACGACGGCCCAAGAGAGGCCTCCCAAGACAGTGTCCAAGAGGGCCCCAAGTCGGTCCAGAGAGCTTCCGACGGTGTCAGACTTGCCAGGAGCCCACCAAGACGACCGAAGATGGCCCTAAGATGGCCCAAAACGGCCCAAGAGGCCTCCAAGAGAGCCCCCTGGAAAGCCGCAGAGGCCAAAATCATTGAATTTCGTTAGGTGTTTGAAGGATTTGGGCATTTGCTTCGTTGCGGCCTTCTGAAGGCCCGAGACGGCCCAAGATCGCCCAACGATCGCCCCAAGATCGCCCACGAGGCCTCCAGGATGGCCTCAGAGCAGCCCAAGAGGCCTCTGAGACGGGCCCAAGAGGGCCCCAAGACGGCCCAAGAGGCCTCCAAGACGCCCAAGATGGCCTCCAAGACGGCCCTGGAGCACCCCAAGATGGCCCTAAGTCGGCCCAGAGTGGCCCCCAAGAAGGTTTCCGACGGCGTCAGGCGGGCTAGGAGCTCACCAAGATGGCCAAAGAGGCCCCGAGAAGCCCCCGAAGGCCCCCAAGAGGCCTCCAAGAGGGCCCCCAAAGATGCCTCCAAGAGGCTCCCAGGAAGCTCCCAGGAGGCTCCAAGATGGTCCCCAGAGGCTCCCAAGATGCTCCCTCTTCCTCCTCCTTCTCCTCCTCCTCCTCCTCCTTCTCCTCCACCTCTCCTCCTCCAGCTCCTCCTCCGCCTCCTGATCTTCCCCGCCATCCTCCCCCACGTGTTCCCCGAAGGGTTTCCACAACGGCTGGGGGGAACACATGGTCCGATAGCTTGGAAGGGCTCTTGCCCCAACGCTCGGCCACACGGGCGATTCTAGAAGGCAGGGGGCGGCGGTGATTCGCCGTAGGCGTCTTCGATAGAGCAGGGACGCAAGGCCGCCACCGCGCCTTCGGCACGGAGTGGGAGTGCCCCAAGAGGGGGGGGCGCAAATCATGGCCAGCGGCATGTGCGCGGCCCAAGGGGGGGGCCAGGGGAGGAATTGAAATCAGAGGAGGCGCCGGGAAATAGGGGGAGATCTCATGGCCCCCGCCGTGACATCCGCCCCCCTAGTCATCAACCCCCTCTTGGCCGCCCCCGACCAAAGGCTCATACAGTCGTGAAGATCAGCAAGGGTACTCATCTGGTAAGAGGCGCAGACCCCTGACCCCGAGGAGAGTCCCCGGGCCACTTCCGGGCCCGTCTCCGGGCCGTGTCGCGCAGGCCTGCCCAGGCCACCTAAGAGCAGCTGAAGCGTCTCCTCGCGTCTGGTCTCAGAGAATGCGCGGGCCAGGAACCCTGCACCCTTTCCCGCTTCCTGAAGGCAGCCCAGAGACCGCACACGGGGAGACCAAACGGTACCGATACCGCTACTCGTCGGGCCTCTCCTGGGGTGCGTTCTGACCAGAATGTCGAGGCGAATCCAGCGGTGGCGACGAGGGTCTCCAAGGAGGCCCAAAAAGGGGAAACGAGAGGAAGATAGAAGTATGGGTACCTTTTCCTCCTCTGAGCCCAGGCACTGCGCCGAGATGGGCCAAAAGGCCACTGGCTGCCCTGCTTCGGAGGGGTTTGTCTTTTTGAGGAGGAGGAGGAGGAGGAGGAGGAGGAGGAGAAGGAGAAGAAGGAGGAGAGGAGGAAGAGGAGGAGAAGGAGGAGGAGGAGAAATGAGGCAAGGAACGGCAGAGGAGACCCCCCGAAGAGGCCAGCCCGTGTTCCGCACGCGGAGGAAGCAGTGCGAGCAGAGATGAAGCAGCGATCCGAGAGGAGACCCTGCAGACAGGCAGGCCTCCTGCCCAGGAAAGACCAGAATCGAATCGAAGAGTCGGACCAGCGAGCGACATGGATCGGATCGGCGGAAATCGGCAGCCGAGTCTAGAGAAGTCGAATCGGCGGAACTCGGCAGGCTGACAGGCCTCCATTGAGAAACTGGGGCCCCAATCGGAATCCAAAGTCGAATCGAATCGGTGTCGGGGACCATCGGAATCGAAGCGAATCGAAACGAGCCCTGCCTTTCGGGGCCCAGCCTGTAAACATGAGCGCTGCTGCAAAGCGGCCCGCCACCTCCCGGGAAGTCCCGGGCCCCGCCCGGCATGCGCCTGGCAGCCTGCGCTGTCCAGCGCCAGCGATCCGCTCGGAAGGCACGGGCGGACCTGCATCCTCGCCCCGTCGCTGCCCGGGGGTGGCAAGAGGTGCCGATGCCCCTGCTGCCCGGACCTCCCGGTGCTCGTGCCGACCAGGGTCTCGCGGCGAACCCGGCGGAAGGCGGCGAGGGTCGCCCAGGATGGGCACCCGAGAGGGGGAGAGCCGGGGGAGGCAAGGGCAGGGGCACCTCCTGCCTCCTCTGGATATCCTCCTTATCCCCCTCGCCCTCGTCCCTCTCGCACCAGCGCGGCAAAGCAAAGGGGGGGGGCCGGGGGGCCCACGAGCCAAGGGCTCCCAACCTCGCGCTCCGCGCTGCGCGCTGCGCGAAGCGCGAAGAACTTCGCGCTCTCGCGCCGCCTCCCAGGGGAGAAGAGGAGGACGAGGAGGAATCGGAGCCGAACCGCGAAGCGCGAAGCGCGAAGAACTTCGCGCTCTCGCGCCGCCTCCCAGGGGAGAAGCGGAGCATGAGGAGGAATCGGAGCCGAACGGCGAAGCGCGAACAACTCCGCGCCTTCGGTGGGCGCCCTTGGCGAGCGGGCCTGTGCGGAGCTGTCAACGACCGGCTGCACAGCCAGGATAGGAGGGGGCCCCGCCCCGCGGGCTCCCACCGAGGGGGGGGGGGGGGGGGCGCAGCCGCCCCCCGCCCCTGCCCTGCCCCACCGGGGACTCGCGCCACCGCTCGGACGCCCGCTCCCCCGGGTGCACTTCTGCGGCCCAGGCTGCTCCCGGGTGGTCCTCGCCGAGGGAAGAAGAACACCCACGTGCGCGCGATGCCGAGTGGACGGGGGCGCGCGGCGCGGGGCGGCAGAGGACCTGGCCCTTGATCGTGAGCGAGAAGTCGCCCGTGTTGCCGAAGCAGTTGGGATAGAGACCTCCCCACGGCCGCCCCCCTGCGCCCCCGAAGCGGCGAGGGCAAGTTCGGTGGCAACTCGTGGGAGCCTGTCCGACGCTCATCGGCGCTAATCGACGCCAAACCAGCGCTACATCGGCAATGTCTCATCGATTACCCGACACAAGGGCACGCGAGTGCACTCCAGCGCCGGGATTACAAGGACACGCGAGGCTCCCATGACTTGCGCTGGCGGCGCAAACAAGTGGGCAGGGAGAGGGGGGAAGGCTTCTCAGAAAGAGGCCGCCTCTTAGAGGGCGCCGGCCCCACATCTGCACACGAGGCCCGCGCCTTCTAAGAAGCAGGGGTGCTCCTCAGAAGCCCTCCCCCCTCACCCTAACCCCCCTCTGCGCGCGGCCGACGACTGTCGAAGGCAAGGGACGCGAAGGAGGAGGGGGGTAAGGAGGTCGACACCAACGGGGGGGGGCCGGCTCTGGGGGTGAAAACTTGACTGAAGGGACCCAGAGACACACACACACACACACACACACACACACACACACATAGATCACACAAAGCCCAGGATTACCCAGCTTTTCCTATCTTTTATTGTCGTCGTCCCCCCCACTTCCCATACTTTGCAGTATTTTCTGGAGGATCGACGATCAATTGTGTCTGTGTGTGTTTTCCCATGCTGATTGACATGGGATCGGCGACGCCTGGCCGATGGATCGGCGAGGGGGCCCAGACGCAGCGACGACCGCGCCCTCCTGGGCGGCGTGGGGTGGGGGGGGCAGGATGCACCTGGCGAGGAGATGTGCGAGGTAGGCGTCATGTCCTCCTCCTCCTCCTCCTCCTCCTCCTCCTCCTCCTCCTCCTCCTCCTCCTCCTCCTCCTCCTCCTCCTCCTCCTCCTCCTCTCCTCCTCCTCCTCCTCTCCCGACTTCCTCCTCCGCCCCCTCGTCATTATCCTTCACTCCTCCTCCTCCTCCTCCTCCTCCTCCTCCTCCTCATCCTCCTCCTCCGCCTCCTCCTCCTCCTCCTCCGCCTCCTCCTCCTCCCCATTCTGGGTGTAGACATTTGGCCGAAGGGTGGGGGATATGGGGAGGGAGCCTGGGTCTGGGCCGGTGCTCAGTCAATCTGCTCCTGCCAGTCGCGCAGGCACTGGGGGAGGGGGGTCCTGACCAGTGGCCCAGAAGCAGCCGCCGCCGAAAGCAACCAAGATCTGGTCTGTGGGGGGGGCGAGGGGGGGCCAGGGCGCGCGCCGATCGGCGGATGAATAACAAGAACGGCGACGAGTTGGGGTCGATGCTTCCCGAGGCTGCCCCTGGAGCCACCTGCGAGGCCTCACGGGTCACAGGGAGGCGGAGAAGCCTCTGGCAGGACCGCCCCCTCCTCCTGCCCTGCCCGCTCCGCCTTTAACAGGGGATCTGTCGACCCCTGTCCCAGGCCTCGTGGGATTTCCGAAGGGACCAGCAATTCGGGGCCCAACCCTGGGATATTGGATGGGGAGGCGCCCATCCTCGATAGGGGTGCGTCCGATAGCCCCCTTGGCGTGTATCACAGAGTTCCCCCCTCACTTATTCTGAGCGGCCAAACTTTTTAGGCGGAACTCGGGGATTGGGGGAGAAAAATCGCCTCATCCGCATTGCCTGAGTATCGCTTAACCGATCCCCATCCCCAGCGGCGTGGGCTTGTCCCACTGGCCGATTTAACCCCCCTGGATGGGGATACAGGTCGTTCCCTTTGGGTTTCGAAAGGTGTATCCCCAACTGGGGTGGTAATTCGGTGGGGGGTCTCGAGGGGGATGGGAATGGGGATGGGGATTGGTCAAACGATCCTGAATTACCACCATCCGCACCCTCGGCGTTGAGGCGGCGCAGGTGCGCAGGAGGCTCCCTGCAGGATCGGCCGGCCACTGAGCCAGGTGCCGCCGGCGCGGAGATCCCGGCCGTGCCGTGAGGGGTGCGGCGGGGAGGGGAGAAAACGGGAAGGAAAGGAGGACGGAGGGGGATGGGATGCATCGGTGGGACGGGACCATCGGGGGGAACGAAAGGGGGGGATAGCAGAGGGTAGGGTAGAGAATCAGCCCATGTAGCTGATTCTCCCAGCGCCTCCCGACGCCAGAAGGCGCCCATGTATCGAGGAATGGGCCTGGCGGCGGGGCCGGAACCAGCTGCATGCAGCAGATTTCGCAACCCGCCTTTCCGTATCCCCCCCTTTCGTTCGGCCCGAGACCAGGATAGGATCAGGGGGAGGGAGGAGTGGGATGCGAGCAGAAGTGAAAAGCCAATGTCAGGAGGCATCGACGACAATGGCGTCGACGACGACGTGCGGAGCAGAGACTGCGTCTCCAATCCAATGTGCTCCCCATGGCGCAATAGCGGTAAAAAAACAACGGGACATCGGACCTGCAGCTGTCGCCAGCGAGGGCGTCGCAGGTGGGCGCCGCAGCTCAAAATATGTGAAAGGCCCGGAATTAACAATCACTTGAACCTGTACTAAGACAGCACGGTCGCATCAACTACGAAACACGATCGGAGC